TTTAAAAAGTTTTTTTTTTTTTTTTTTTTTTAAAAAAAAATTTTTTCTTTTTTTTTTTTTTTTTTTTTTTTTTTTTTTTTTGATTTGCATAATGTTAATCATGAATGGGGAGAAAAATTAATGATTGTAATGATAACAACAGGTCGTTAACATCGTTAATGAAAAAAAAATGAATGGAAATGTAATATTTATTCAAATGATGCCATACGCATGTGTAATTTTAAGTCAAGAATATTTGAATTCAATTTTGTTTTTACAACATTGGCTAATCACAATGTTTTTTTTTCATTCTTGATTTTAATGACAGGTTTCGTGAGAAGCTACCACAAATGATACATTCGCGTAAAGATCCACATGTTCTTTACGAAGAATTGGTTCAAATCGCCAAATGGCGCCTTATGGTTAGTGTTATTTGATTTTGAATTTGATGATAATAATAATAATCAATTTTCTCCCAAAGATGGGTAAATATCGTCCTAAGATGTTAGATTTGGTTCGTATTAATACAGAAACGTCAGTGGTCAATATCACAAGAAAAGCGTTCAAAAAGATGCACCATCAAAAAAATCTTCAACAAGCCATCACACAATTGGTCAATCTTAAAGGTATTGGCCCATCCACTGCTTCTGGTAAGTGTTAGGATTTCTATTCAAAAGAATCCAATTATGATTATTATTTTCTCTTTTAGCTGTGTTGGCTGCCGCTTATCCCGAACAAGCACCATTCATGTCCGATGAGGGTATGCTTTCGACACCAGGCGTTGAAGCCACAGATTCGACCATTGCTGAATTCAACAATTATTCGGAACAACTTCGGAACAAGACTGAATCGCTCCGTCAATCAGGTATAAGATAACTTGTTTAAATAAATTTTGTGAATTAATTTATAACTTTACACAGATCCAGATTACAAATGGACTCCACATAAAGTAGATCAGGTGTTGTGGATATATTATCTCATAAAAGATTCAAACCCGACACTGTTAGATTCAATGCCACGTGGTGATGATGAATCAATCAATACTGATAATAATGTTTCACAATTATCGGATGCGGCTGATGATAATGCAAACGTGATGGCACCAACCACCACATCGATAATTGGTGCTGATGGCGATGAATCGTCTTCACAGGATGTGCTGCTTAACCATAATCACAATGAATCATCGTTGAATGGGTCATTAGAGGATTCCGAATCTGCATCGGTTCCATATTCCGAAGAAGATTTAAGCAGTCAAGGTGCTGCATCATGTTCAGTTGATTCGACAGCCGCCACGATCGGTTCTGATGTGTCGGCTGTTTGCACAATGCCCTCTTCGTTGGGATCACCTCCATCGAACATCATAGCATCGATTACGTCTACGCCAATAATTATTGGTTCACAACCGATAACCAATGGTGTCAATGGTAATAGTAATGCAAATGGCGGTGTCATCAACACTAACAATAATCAAACAACGACATCAAACACATCATCATCTGGGATCGGTGAAGAGGATTCTAATCTTTCGGCTGACGATCATCACCAACAAAGGATGATATCTTTAACGTCAAACATAGAGATGAATCAACAGCCACGAATGCTAACGCCATCGGAAGAGAATTCTGTGGATAATTCAGTCGGTGATGATGAAGTTTCTTTGGATGAAGCTCCGCCAATGAAAAAACAAAAAACTGGATTAGATTTGGTCGCAACTGCCGAACCTACAGGTGCGGAAGCTTGATTATTCTATTTAAAACATTAAAATGAATTCGGCTGACCATTCAACATTCGTGAACAACTCCAATTCTCTTCGTCAGTGTGGATAAATTTTGCATACAGAATACATTTTAAAAAAACACCCCCTTTATGCAAATATAAAACACAGCGACAAAAGTGAGACATGAATTTTGGGAAAATACATTACACATGCAAAAAAAAACACACACACACCAACATTCACCGATAAGAGTTGAAGCCATTGAATCTTTTTTTTCACAATCCTGACATTCATGAAATGCATTGATCCTAATCCTTCCCATACCTCCGCACACTCGCAAACACATACATTCGTACACTTCTATTTGATATGACATTTTCACTCTTTTTTTTGGATCATCAAACAAACCGAATTCTTTCTATTCAATTATATTTGAATTTTTCTTTTCTTATTTTATTTAAAAAAAAGAATGATTAAACAGATATCCATATATACCAATATATATTAATCCCAAACAACATCAACAACCAGGCCCATATAATGGATTTTCGATTTCTTTTCCAATTCTTTCTTCTTTTTTTTTGCATTGATTGAATGGAAAAAAATCTACAAACACACACACATACACATCGGCTCGAATACTGTGTTTTTTTTAAAGAATATTATTATTATATTTAAGACTAGATACCAACAAACAAAATCTTTTGAAAATTGATATCTAATTGATTATTATTATTATTATTATTATTTTATGATTATGATTATGATTATGATAAATAAAATGGAAAAAAGTATAATTATTATCATTATAAATGATTGATGGTTAATTCTGTTTTATTTTTATTTTGCTATAAAATGGATTCAAATATTTTTATTGTTTAATGGTTTCAAATTTTTGATTTGATTATTGCAATTCAAAAAAAAAAATATATTCATAATTGATTGAATTTGTAAACAATGATCGATTTATTGGTATATATTGACGACAACATTTGTTGTGGACGAAATGGAGATTATTTTCGTAGCCATTACATTTAAGCAATGGCGGGTGTTACCCTTGAAAGCCATACTACCTATAACCAAACATCGTCATCATTCTGGAATGGCAATTGGGGAAATGTTCCTTTTGCATTACTCATTTTGATATTGATTTCGGCCACTATAACTGTATTATTGTTAATGCTGACCTTATATTGTCTCTTTTTTTGTCTATGGAAAAAATATTATCGTCCAAAACCAAAAAATGATATATTGACATCGCGAAGATCATTTTTGTTTACCGAATCTTTAAGTCAGACCCGAAGTATCGGATCGGGAGGTAAAAAACGCAAGAATGTAAACAACCCAACTGCAATTCCAACCAATTGGGCAGATGTTGAAATCATGTTGAAAATGCCCAACGATGCTATGCGTCAATTAAAACGTGAACAAACACCTATCATGAGAATGGTACAATTGACTAGAGCAAATCGTAGACAATTAATCAATCTAGGATACTCGGACGCAGAATTAGAATCGATTGGCTACTATAGATCTGATACACTCAACAAGAATAGAAAACAAATACCAGATTGGTATGCAACCGTCACTGATAATTCACAGTCAGAATCACTGTCACTCAAACCTATGATTCGTACTGATCAAAGTGAACAAGAAGTGACATTTAAATCAACAGAATTTGAAAGTGGGCGCTCGAACAGAGATAAAAGAGGTAGAATGCTTCCAAATAAATATAAATAAAAATTTATAAACATTATCCATAACCGAGACCACGACGTGTAGTTGTGTGATGATCATCGGCCATTTCAATTGGTTCGATTAATTGTTTTGAGCTATCGTTCGATTTACCCAATGTTTGGCCCGATTTCCAACCCATTCGTTCAAGCATTTGATATCCTTTGTTCCTATCATTCAATGGTAGATCCAATGCTGAGCCCGCTGCAGTCTTTTCGTACGGACAATCACTTCCAACATTACGCTGTCGTTCGCCGGTACGATCGCGGTACTGTGATTGTCCATCTTGGCCATTGACGCTTTTCTCAGCCATACCATTTTCCAGACCATATTTCCTTTTTAAGCTTTTCATTGAAGATCGAGAAGATTTGGCTTGATAATTGGCATAGATTCCAGTATCCGGTTTCTGTTGTTGTAGATTAACACTGCCATCACATTCTTCACAATCAACATCCCGATTCGAATGTATATGGGCAACAAGCAGACAGCAATCGGCCAAACCGATTTCATCACCATGCGACAAGGGAGTTCTTTCGAGTTGTCCCAACCGTTTTCCATTAACAAACGTACCATTTTTTGATAGTAAATCTTGAATCATATAGATCCGTCGTGAAAGATCATAATTTATTTCAGCATGAATCTGCAAAACATGGTTGATAAGAATTAAAGTACTGATAAACTATCATACGAACCTGTGAAATGGTCATGTCCGGTATTGTGACTGTACAATTGGAATGTTGACCAATTTTGCCTCCCATACAACTGATTAAAAGAATTGATCCATTTTCCAGCGATTCAGAATGTTTGACAACCAAACGACATGGTGCCGTATTATTGAAACGTTTGGGAAGTGATGATAACGAAAAGTTTGATTTATGATCGTTTTTATCACGACATGATTTTCGCTTGGATTTGATTGGTACATGTTTAGATTGAGTATTGTTCTCATCGGAATCAGAACTTATATCGATACAATCATCATCATCATTTATTTCTCCATCTTCCATTTCTAAATCTTCATTAGAAGAAATAAATTTTTCTTTTTTCTTTTCATCCGAAGTGATGGTCGTTGTACCATCTAAATTACACATAAAAATGTATTCTTTTTTCAATTGATCATATTTGTAGTAGCGTTTATCCTCAGGATTGTAGAACGCTTCACTTTCCGGATAGTAATACCATCCAGTTGAACGACTAAAATAAGTGTTCGATTTTGAATCAAAGTAATAATCGGAGAATTCTGCCGATAATGCTTTAATCTCCTCTAATTCTTCTTTTTTAATAATCCGGTTCGTTTCCGATCGAGATTCTGACTTTGCTTCGCTGGATAATTGTTGTTGATCCAATTGTTTGGATAGCAGAAATTTTTCTGTCATCAATCGCAATTCAGTACGAAGTTCTTCATTATAACGTTCTGATCTTGCCAAACGTTCTTCCGCGTGAGCCAATTTCTTTTGTAGACGTTCCTGTTCATGGCCATCATTATTATCTGCATCATTTTTACTTTCATTCATCGTTTTGAAGATAATCACCCGAATCGATTATTGTCATAACCTTTCAAATCTAATCGTAAAAAAACGAAATGAAAAGAAATTTCATTTTAGTGATTTTATTTTTGTCACATATGAAAAATATTTTAAACAAACGATATTCATTTATAATAAAAGAAGGCAAACTCTGCTTTTCAATATTTTTTTAGTAATATTCGTGCCATTTAAGTTTTTAATTATTGTTTTTAAGAAAATAAACATCGAATTTTTACAAGGAAGAAACTCGACTATTTCCACAGAATAACTATCAAGAATGTCGTTTTTGCAACTAATATTTCACCAATTTGAATTTAAAATATTGAATTTTTTCTCCAAAATTCTGAATTCGGTACGAAATTTTTCACGAAATTCATCATCCAATTGTAATTTTGAATAAATTTCAACAGTTTGATTATCTATCATTTCATTATTGGTGAAAAAGTCGAATCCGGTTTTTGGTAATTGAACATAAAGTTTTTGAACTTGTTCGAAAGTAATCACGATTGGATCCGAATCTGGTGTCAATTTTTCATTCAACTTTTTATTGAATGGAATATTGCGAAATTGAGCCCCACCATTTAGACAACCTTTAGGACAAGCAGATACTTCAATATAATCATACGGACAGGATTTTCGCTTTAATCGTGACACCAAATTCTGTATATTACGAAAACCATTCAATATGGCAAACGATATCACTGGCTTAGTATCTGTTTCCGATTCATGAAGATTAATTTCCAAAAAGTCTGCATTGCGTACTATTTTCCATTCAAGCTCGGTACTCATCAACTCTTTGGTGGCCATCTTTTGATATATAGCCATCATTCGCAATAAGTTATCTGCATAGCCTCCTGATCCTGATCCTCGATGCGATTGTATTTCCCCGTTTGGACTGAACCCGACATTAAACTGATCAAGAAGGCGGCAAGGAAGTGAATCAAGATTTTCGATTTGTTTGAATTCAAGAATCTTTTCCACTTCCAAAGGAGTGATAACACAATCTACTTCTTTTATCGATTCATCAATACGATTTTCCAATCGAGAAGCTTCCAATTTTTTGTCATAACATGGCATCAATGTTATATGGTAAATTCGATCTGGTTGAACGTCAACAAATTGATCATTAACTAAATGTAATCGCTTTTTCACTAAAAGGCCCATAATTTGTTGTGGAGATTTGATACGGCTGAGAAGTGGAACCAAAATGTTACCTTGTGATTTTTCAGCATAACACACAAAACCGGGACAAGTCGATGACAATAATGGCTGTTTAGAATTTGTATCCGAGTTATATTGTTTTGATAATTCTTGCCATGATTCTTGAAGACAAATATGACGAGCTAAAGCAATATCAAAAATGTAATCGACACCTAATGAATGAAATAGATAACTGATGCGTTCGGCAGCTGATTGTATCGAATCAAGGTTATATTTTGCGGCTAAAGATGCTAACGCTTGCAATGATAATGTCATTACGATGATTAAATTATTATTCTGATTCATTGATTAGAGCAAAGATAAAATTCAATAAAAATCTTTAATAAAATCATTACACCAAACAAACCTTTTGTTTCTCATCTAAAATATCGATCACTTTTTCATGTGATTGTTCGGATATCAGTACAGCTTCGGTCGATGTTATACAACCACTACAGGCCAAACAATCTCCTAGCGTTACTGATACCGGTGTCAACTTAGGTTGTCCTGTATCACCACCTTCTTTGATTTGCCCCTGTATTCGTTCTGATTGTCGATTTTTCCATGATTTACTTGATTTATTAATCCGTATAATGTCATCGCTTTCACTATTATCCGATTTATTATCTTGAATTGTTTCAGCAGGTTTTATGCATACCTATTTAGATAAACAAACAATAAACAAGAACGACAAAGCAAACATTTTATTAAAAATTCAATGGATACAAAAACATATTTATAAAAAAAAATCAAATTTTCAAAAAAAAGATTGGTACAGCATTTTGAACGATATAGTCATCTAATTGAAGCACTTTTAATAGAGATAATTTTCTATCGAATTCAATCAATTCTAGTTCTTGTGCTATACGTTTTTCGCCATCAACAGTATATGTCTGACATGATTGATAATAACAACGTATTCGTTCCGGTCGATATTGATTTTTTTGATCCCATTCGGGTTTTGTTTCGAAAAGCATTTCAATATATTCAGCAAATGTGCTGTTTTCGGAGAATTTTTCAATAAAATCTGTTTGACCTACATCCGGATAAATAAAAACAACAGGCCAGACCAATGTTTGATGTGAATCAAAATGTACGAAACATCCTCGTACAGTGGGATGATCAGTTTCAAACAATGATCCTTGGAATTTTATTCCACGTTCTTGAACAGCTTGTTCAATTTGTTTTTGTTCATATGAACGTTTTTGTTCAGTTTTGGCTGATTTTCTTTCATCTCGATTTTGTATTTTGAATTTTTTTTCAGCTTCTTCTAGAAGTGTTTGCATTTCTTGGCGAAATTTTTCTTTAGCTTTTTCATTTTCAATTTTCAATTCATTCGATTCATCCAATTCTTTCTTACAGAAAATGATACATTGTTCGAATCGTTTTAATCTACAGCAACATTGAGCAAATCGAATTTTAGCTTTTAGATTTTGTTGATTCAAAAACATTGCTCTGGTTGCATCTTGCATTGAACTTCGATAATTACCCAGATGAAAATGTGCCGATGATCTATTATTATACAAAACGGATAATGACTCATTTAGTTTATTTGTTTCTATGTTTTCAGATGATTGATTCTTAGATGAATGTTTAAAAGCTAAACGAATACCTTCCGAATACGAATCGATTGCCCAGCGGTATTTTTTATGGCGAAAATTTTCATTGCCATCTTGACGATAACTATTCATTAGTTCTTCGATTGAATTAAATTCTGGATCATATTTCAACTGGCTAAATGCATCGATCAATTCGGATTGTTCTTGACCTGGTTCCGGAGCTTTGGTTGCAAACAATGGATGTTTTTCCATTTCTTCTTGCCAATTTTGTTCAGTCCAACAGCCTGAACGATCCAATTGTGCTGCTTTCGCATAATCATAGTAGAAATCAAAGTCATCATCTTCGTCTTGTTGTCCTTTTCCATCACCAGCATTAATATTAATTAATGGTGTTTCGTTTTGGTCAGACATGTTGATATATCAAATGACAAAGGCTCTAATGACAAGTACTACTAACCTGTGATGGTTGTATAAAATCATTTAAATCAGTCAATTTCAAAGCTGAACTGAATCCGCTCATTGTTGAAAATCACATGGGACCATCAAACTTGTAATTATTAACATCAAACATGTGATCATAGAATATAGTACATGGATTTTAACCATAGATGGCAAACTTGTCGAGAAAAAATGGTACATTTGATTTTAGAATTGGCGCGGCCGCCATCACAAAAGCGATATTGCTCCGGCTGGGTAATTTGAATTTTTTTCTTCGGAGTGATTTTTCCGTCTAATAGCTATGGCAATCTTTATCGACACTGATTTTTTAGAGTTAAAAAACTTGGCCTATATTTTTTTTCTCTCTTTCATTCATTCAATTGTCTGTTTTTATTATTTCATCGAATCATTGCAGAAAAAGTGAACTTCACTGCTTGAAAACAGAAAAAAAAAAATTTCGTCATAAGTTTCATTGTCCTATGGTCATCATCAATGATATCATTGTTTGTGTTAGCATTCTTCATCATCATTAATAATGGATTGTCACTCATACAAACATTGTGGTTGTTGAGCATTGTCATAATGAGCAAACAAGCAAGACAAGAAAGTATAGACCAACAAGGAAAACGGGCCGTAACAATTCACAACAACAATCAAAAAGTGGAAGACCTTGGACCAAGAGCCGACCTTGTGCTATTCGTGCGTGCATACGCCAATTCATAAAAAAACTCATGTATAAGATTTTCAAACGCGCCAATTGTCAAAAGAAAAAAAAAAGTTTATTTTTTTTATGACATACCTACCCCGAGAAAGTATAACGAAGAAGAAGAATTTTCATTCTTTTTTCTCTAAATCCACTGCTACCACAATACAAAAACACATATAGAGAACAAAAAACCACCTGTGCTGTGGCTTGTTTAAGCACAGGTTTTTTTTGTTAACAAAAAAAATTTTGGTCTACATCCATTTTTTTCACTATCCATAAGGAAATGGTAATGATCATCGTGTGCCTGTCCTAACACTTTGTCAATGTTGATGATATTATCAATCCAGTCAATGAGAAAGAATATTATTTGGATAATCAAGTTTTTTTGTTTTTGTAATAAAATTTATCACCTAAATTTCAACAACATTCTTAAAGAAAATTGCCATGTTTTTTTTTATTGTTTGACAAATTAAATGATAATTATATAATTGATTATTTTCGTAAGAGTTTTGTTTCAACTTTGTTTAATTGCAAATTTCAAAATTTTATCATTTATTGATCATGCTCTCTCTCTCTATGCTGCTAAAGCCAATATATTTCGGGAACAACAAGAATGGTCACCATTTGATTCGAAATTCGAAACAAAGCATTAAAATACAGACTAAATTATTCGTTGATTGAACAGATGGACAATCAGTGTTTTTGTGTTCTGCATTTTGAATGGTGGTCCCATTAATCCATGTTTTCGATCCTTTTCAAAAAACATAGAATAGTAGCAAATTTGTGCCGATCCCTTACCATTGTTGTGTATACAATACTATACCGCTATCATCATCTTCATTTTCACCCATCAGAATGTGTGTGTGTGTTGTGTGAGGGATACTCGATCCACTCGACACAATACAGATTATAGTCATAATGAATGATAGCTATTCTATTTTATTGTTGGTTCATTCTTACGAGTACTTAAATTTTATACAGAATGGTTATGGTCAAAATGGATACATTGTTGATTGTGACTATTGCTCTATTGTGAAAATAGGATCACAATTAACTTCTCTTTTGCTCAATTGCCAATTGGTTTTCCAAAAAAAAAAAAAAAAAAAAAAAAAAAAAAAAAAAAACACCAAAAATTTTTTTTTTTTTTTTTTTTTGGGGGGCTTGTGCGTGTTTTTGGGGNTTATGGTCAAAATGGATACATTGTTGATTGTGACTATTGCTCTATTGAAAATAGGATCACAATTAACTTCTCTTTTGCTCAATTGCCAATTGGTTTTCCAAAAAAAAAAAAAAAAAAAAAAAAAAAAAAACAGAACAGCCAAATATTTCATTCGTTCTTTTTTTTCGGTGGATCGTCGTAGCTTCTGTGGTGTCATTCTGTCTGTCCGAACGGCATTTCGTATTTCACTGAGAAAAAAGTCCAATTTGGATGCCGTAATAACGCCAACATTGATGAATGCACGCCATCAAAAAAAGCATGTAAATATGTTAGCGATTGGCGTGCAAACCTCAAAAAAATTGGCGTGTGCAAACCACACTTTTCTCTCAGTGTTTTCATTTAATTTTTTTTTTTTTGATTTTCGTATGTTCCTTTTTAAGAGTACACATTTTTACAGGATTGTTGTGCTAGTGGTTAAAGGATCTCACACTCTAAATATCTTTTTTAGTCAATTGCTCGCGTCTTCCACACTCTCTGATAATATACACACACACACACAATCCACAACACAATCACGAATACCGAACCAAATCTCAAACACCAAGAAATTGTGATCAGCTCATATTAAACTGTGGCCAAAATATTAGTGTGTGTGTTGTATGTGTTATGTAGGTTTTGATCCTGCGTAAAATAGTTAGTACACACATTCATTTAACGAATTACGAGACAGAAAAAATAGAGAAGAGACCTGAAATATATCTCATCTAATAATATTCGGAATATACAAACAAACAAACAACAAAAAAACGATCTGTCTCCACTTTTGTTGTTGTTTGGTGCTGTTTTTTTTTTAATATATATGTCCAAGTGTGTGTGTGTGAATTGGCTATTATCCGTATTAAAATTGACAACAATCAAGGATCAGCTTAAAACCCGGATTTATCGACATAAAGATCCATTCGATGATCGACTAACTTTATTCTACCCGTTTGGTTTTTTGTTGTTGTTGTTGCTGTTCTTCAATGAACTGAATCAGTTATTCAATTAGTTCAATCATTACGGAATATTCTTCTCTTTGTGTTTCAAAAAGAAAACTTTCGCCGGTTGAAATTATTCATCATTCTTGAATTCAATCGAATGAAAATTTTTTATCCAAAATTCAACAACAATCCTTCAATGCAATCTCATTTGATCGCTAAGAAGAATTTAATTATTATGCATCATTCAACATACCAAGATAATAATGATGATTATTAAAACTCAACGATACATTCCTTAAGATGTAGCAGTTGAATCATTAAATATCTAAATAAACCAAAGTATCATCGAATCAACAACGGAGGCAATTTTTATTTTATTTCATTTCATTTTTCATCGCATCAATCTATTATTCACCACCGTCAAACATCACCGAAAACCAACCACTACGCAAATCATTATTTCAATTTCAGACAACGTTAGTTTTGTGATCGACATTGAAAACATTTTATTTTTTCTTCTCCAAGTTTCTCTCATTTTTTTATTTCTTTATCGCTCTCACTCTTTAAATATTCGCCACCTTTTGAAGCAAAATAATAATAATAATCAGGGACAACAGGATCACCATTTTGATTCGTTGCCGTTTGTCAATTCATTTTTATTTGATTCGTTTGAAATTTCATTCTAAGAGAGGAAAAGAAAAAATATACAGATATACTCTCTTGGCACACTCTTTCTCTCTCTCTCACTCTTTATTATCAATATCTAGTATCATCAATTTTTATGAATTTTTTCTTATTGTTGAATACATCGTCATGATGGTTTTAAAAAAACTCATAGTTCCATAATGGATGAATTATTCTAATTCTGGTATCATCTTTAATTTTTTTTTAAAAAAAGTGCTGTTTGCTTTTGCTGAATTTAACAACAACAACAAGATGTTTTCAATGTTAGAATGACAGATAAACAAAACAAAAAATGAATCCATTGTTTGAAATTAAACTCCAATTTCACTTTTTTTTGAAAATGAAAAATTTCAACTCTGCGAATTAATTCAAATTTATCATCGATGATTCAACCAAACGGTCTGTTTCTATTGAAGATTCAATTTTTTTTTAATTTTGGAGATAACGTACATTATCGTGGTTCTATGAAAGAACGACTATATTGTTTTTCTTTTTGAAGTATAAATGAGCAATCTATTAGCCTCCATGTTTGTGCAATAACCGTATCATCATTGTATTGATCATCAATTATACAACATTTTTTTTTTGTTGGCCATATCGGTTTAAAAGATCGCGCGCGACTACAATCAACAGCAAAAAAAAAATTACGACGAGCAAAGCATCTATTCATCCACGAAGTTGATTTGTTTGTTGACTGCTTGGTTAGTTAAAGCTGGTTGGCTAGCCGTTTTCTTGAATAAGAAGAAAATCATAATAATAATAATAATAATAAGGAAACAAGTCTTCTTCATTTGAAGCCTTCAGTAGTGGTTGTTATGGTTCCCAACTTCTTCAAATCTATCTGTCTATATACATCCATTTATTCGTTTCATTCATCAATCTTGTTCGGCCGGTCGTTCGTTCGTTCGGTCTGTTCTCTTTTCTTTCAGAAATCTTCTTCATTTTCTATCAGCTTGTCGTCATCAACTTGCTGGATTGTCATATTTTTCATCTAAATAACATAATAGTTTAAGCTCTACCCCTAATAACTGGATATCAATGTATTTATTTTCTGGAAAAAGACTCTTTTGATAATCATCATCAATAACGTTTATAAAATTTGAATAATCATCATTCTATAAGTATTTTGTTGTTGTTGTTTTTTTCACAATTCATAGAATTGTATGTATTTATTTATTATTATTTTTTCCATCAAATTAAAATTCATTTCATTTATTTTTGCAGATTAAATATTGCCACTCAATCGAAGGTCCAACAGCAGCTGCATTTATCGGTTATGATTGTTTATCATCATCAATTTTATCAACAGATCAATTCATTTTGGATAGTAGCCATCAAAAATATTGTTGATAACAAAAATGAAGAGAATGCTTATGATAAAAATGTTGTTGTTTGCCTGATTCTATTTTCAAAAATATCTTCGTATCAATTATCTCAAGCGTGTTGGCTGTTTTTTCAGTTTGTTCAAAAAATCGATCGTTTAAAGCTAACTTACTTAATTTGCATCCATTACGATTAGACCAAATATTGAGTGATTTTTTATGAAATTCAATTTCAATAAATAAACGACAAATTAATTATGTTTATGTTCATCATACTTGATCTCATCTCATCTCATCGAATGTGTTTTCGTATCTTTAGCAGCTAGTGTTACTAAATAGAATCAACAAGTCAATTCATAACGACTTTATTCTATTCAATTCACTTAAATTTTTTCGATTGCTTTCATAAACTACAACCATTGCTTCGACACAGGGATCATTATTGCCGCATCAGCCGCCGTCATCATCGGCATCCATTTCATCGGCGGCTGATTGGCCATCATCGTCACCAAACACCGTTGCACCTTCTCAATTACAATCTTCATTATTATCATCATCTCCATCATTAGGGCCAAATTCCTCTACACCATCTGCACAGCAGCAACATCATTCACTATCTTCTCATCTTGCATATCAATCTCCGCATCATTACTCGCAACAGCATCAACATCTGCCCCATCTGAATGGAGGTGGTCAATCAGTGGTTTCTGCAAGCAACATCAATCACCATCCACATCATCACCCACAACAATCATCTCAAGCTAGTCCTCTTGGTTCACAACAGCAAATGATGTGTGGCAGCGGAAATGGATCCACTACACCAAACGGTCATCAGATGTATCATCAGCCGCAACCATCGTCAACATCATCATCACCGGCAATGATGATGACGACATCATCCCCACGTGCAGCTGGTGGTGCGGCATCTGCATCCAGTTCGCCTGGGTACAGTAGCCATATGCAACAACAACAGCCATTCCATCAACAACAAAACCATCCATTGACTCCAACACAGAATCATGCCTCGACACCATCACCTCAACATGGTCAATTTCAGCCAAGTCGGACGCCTCCGATGGCCACATCTTATGGCCAATCTCCGTTAAATCATATTGAACATAATTCAGGAGCTGTTCCAATACAAGGAAATGGAGGAGCCTGTTACGATGTTGTCAACAGGTTGAAAAATCGTTTGGATGGCTATCGTTCGCATCATGACCAATCAATGGCCAAAGAACAACCATTCCTCGAACAATATAATCAAAAAATAAAGCTAGAAACCTCGCGGCTAGTCAAAAAACAACAAGCCGCTAATGAAGTTGCCGCACAAGCTACAGGAAGAAAGAAGCAGACAAGCGGAGCGAATTCTGCTTCTGGAGGTGGTCGATCGCGTGGCGGAAACGCGGGTGGAAATAAACGATCAGCCAATTGTTTAATGCTCGATTCATCGAATAGTCCATTGAACACGATGACACCACCGATGACAGTAGGATCCTCATCACCAACGCCTGGAGCTACGGGTGCAGCAACAACTGGTCCAACCAAAGCCAAAATGCCCAGAATGACTGCCAAGCAGCGAAAACAATTGAAACAACAACAACAACAACAATTGGAACAGCAGCAACAACAACAACAACAAATGATGAGTGGTGGTATTACTAATTCTCAATTAATGATGTCAATGAGTGGTGGTCATAACCAACAACAACAACAAGCTACCTCACAACAACAATCCAATAATGATATGCTAATGAATGGATCATCATCGCCTTCTGTCTATAAATTTGATCCAAACCATCATTCGCCTCATACGAATGATATCAAACCACCTCCTATGAACTTTTTAAGTCAAAGTTCTGGTATGATTCAATTGATAAATTTTTTTTAAAAGTTTGGACTATAATTTTTTTCTTTCTAATTCAGGCTTGTCGTCGTCATATCACCACCAACATCAAAATGTTTCGATCAAACAAGAAGATTTTAGTGGCGCCAATAGCGGATGTTCTAATCCATTTAACCAACTTGATGCTACATCGCTTCAGGATCTACTTATGGACAATGGGTCTACAACGATGAACAATCATCAACATCTTCACCATCAGCAGCAACAGCCGCAGCTACAAAATCAGTATCATCAATCCAATACGGATGATGATTCCAAAGATCTGATTAATCAAATTTTGGAAATGGATCCAGATGGAACTGGTCACACATCGAACGGTATTGCTTCCAATGGTCCTTCAAATGGACAATTCTCGGTTTTCTCTAATCCAACAGATAATTCATCTATATTCGGTTCTTCGGCCGATGATTCTATTCTATCGAATCGTTTCGGTGATGAAGATTTTATTACGAAAGTGTTAGAAGATTTAAACAAAGGATTTCAAAATGACCCGGTTCCCACACCAACGAATAATCAACAATCATACCAGCAACACAATTCGAACCATCAACAGCACAACATTGAAAGTGGTGGCTACAATCCTCATTACAGCAGCAATTCTGGCGAATCAGTCCATTCACCTATGATGAATGGTCACATTCATTCAATCAATTCTATAAGTTCTCATCATTCCCAGCAAACAATGGATCCTGCAAGCAATTCTTTTCATTCATTCTCAAATCCATCTACACCTGGTTCAACGATAAATTCAATGAACATGAATCCAGGTTCAGCTGCTTCTTGTGGATCAGGTGCTTCGTCCCCAATGAATTCTCATCATTTTCATCAACAACAAACAAATGGTCCTCATCAGCAACTGCCTAATTTCCATCAATTACGACAACAAACACCAGCTGGTCAACCTAATAGCACGCTTCCCTCATTTCATACCATCGGACCGATGAAACAACAACAGCAAACAAATCTAATGGTACCGAATAATGCTAGTAATGGTAACGTCGGCGGCCATCAATCACCTCGAATGAATCCCCAACAAGTGCCTCAACAACAACCAAACGGTAGCAATAATTTCGCTCAATCACAACAAATGATCACTAACAATCTACAGACGTCATCGATGACGCCTACGCCACCACTTGGATCACAATCACCTCTAAATAGTCATGTGATGATCAAATCTCCTTACGGTGGTTCAGCAGGAGGTCGTCCAAACTCAACCGGACCACCAACTGCAACAGGACCAAATAGTGGAGCTCAAGCTTCAAATCTTTTATTACAACCAGTTGTTCCAAATCCAGATTCTGCGGTAGCCAACAACAAAATGATTGTATCATCTCCTAGATCAGCCATGTGTCAACGTGCGACACCATCACCCGGCGTTACAATTTCATCACCACTTCACCATCCTCATGGTGCAACAACATCTACAACCATGTCAATGCCGTGTCCATCTTCAACTCCGCCAACACCGAATAACAATGGTACGGGGCCGAATGCTTCGGTCGCATTGAAACAAATGGCACAGGCTCAGCAAAATAAATCACTGTGGAATCAAATTCAACAGGCCCCTTCACAAACCAATGAATTTTATCATAATTCTGCACAGCAACCACCTCAACAACAACAACAACAACAAGTAACGCAAGGGCAGCAACAACAAATGATAAGACATCCGAACATGATCGGATCTCAACGTATGATGAACACTATGCCATCACAGGCTAATTATTCACCGCAACAGCAAATATTGTCTGCTCAGCTTCAACAGAATATAAACAATAGCCAACAACAGCAATACGCGACGAGGCCTCGAGGTTCAATGATGAATCAGCTAAACAATAGCCAACAACAGCCTTCTTCGACGACGTCCTATCAACAGCAAGCGCCTACAAATCAAGTAAGAGCACCGAATTATTATCAACAACTTGGCCCATCGCCAAATGCTACGGCACAGGGTAATCAACCTCGACTGATTCGCAATCAAAACATACGAGCCCAACGAATGATGCAACAACAACAACGAATGCAACAGCAGCAACGATTTCAAACAGGGCCAATGAGACCGACGACTGGATATAATCCTCAACAGTCGCAAATGACGCCTTATAATAATAACAATAATTCCATGGGTACTGTTGGTGCTGCTACACCGTCAATGATGTCCATGCCACAGCAACAGCAAAGATTTATGTCTAATCAGAATGGATCAACATCAAATATGGAACAACAACAATATAACAGCGGCGGTGGTAGTTGGCCACAACAACAACAACAATCTCAGTCAATGATGGCGCCTAGTCAACAACAACAACAATCACAGCAATATTCATCGATGCTACAGCAGCAGACAAATTATGGTCGTAATAATAATCCTGGTCCAGGTCCTGGTGGAGGTTATTTTTGATTCAATTAGTCAAAATCTATTGTCAGCCATACTGCCTTGTAATTTTTTCGAATTTGTATTTTGTGTTGGTTGCTCATTTAAAAATTCCAACCTGAATTGCCATAGCCCAACCACATGGTTACAAATCTCATACAGAATTTTATTTTATTTTATTTTATACATATTGTAAAAATTAATCGGCTCATGAACAACAATCGAACTATATTCAATGAATCAGAAATGGAATCTGATTGATGAATTTGTATTATTTATTTGATCATTATATATACCGCATGGAAACAAAAATTCGATTGTTTTTATGATTTTTTTTCTTTTGTTTATTTTGTTTTTTATTTTATTTTTCAATTATCAAACATATTATTTGCATATTGTATTCGATATAATTGTATTCATTCATTCATTCATCTACCCCTTTTTTCTCTTTGATCTTATTGTCGACGTAATATAATTTGATTTAAATATATGCATTATCTTGTTCAATTTTTTATTAAATTTTTCTTGAACTTATTTTTTTTATCAAGATTTGATTTCAATGGGGTTACTAAAGGTAGATTTAATCAATTTACATACAAAATAAATTTCAAAATTCTATTCCATACAATTTTTGATGCAGATGGCAGCACTAATCAGTTTATAAACACATGATCAATTCGGATCGGGTTTTTTTCCGAAATTATCATTTTATTTGGCGATAAACAATGGTACGATATATGGGCGATTTCGCCAAACAAATACCATTAAAACATGTGTCTAAATATGCTCTTCGAATGATGAAATTACGATCGAAATTGTTTAATGAATATATTCGGACACCGATGCCATATGAAATATCACGTGCCGTTTTAGTCGATCCTCGTCAACGACAGGCATGGGATTCTCATCATTTTCAAAATGAACAAATGGTTAATCGATTCTCTCAATTACCCAGTGATTTGGATCATATTAGATCTATACGATATTATCCCGCTCATCCACAAATTGGAGATTTAATGTCATTGCTAAGACAACATGGTCTATATCGGTTTGTTAATTTTCAGATTTTATATTCAGTTTACATTTTAATCAAAAAAATTTTTTTTTTTTTGCTAGTGACGAACATAAGGATATTAAAGAAGAAATGAGTCGTTTACGAGCATTAAGGGGTAAACCGGATAAAATATGGGGCAAGAAAAAATCTCAAACTCAATCCGATGGTGATGAAGATTGATTTACATTTTCATTCAATAGATGGTGTCTTCCGTTTCATTGTATTTAAATTATTATTCTTTATTTTGTCGTTTTAGAATGTTTCATTTAATTTCCAGCAAAAAAAAAAAAAAATAGAAAATTAAAAAGTTTTGTCCATATGAAATTACAATTAAACTTTTTATGAACGCGTAATCAAGTTGAATTGCACTGAAACAACAAAAAAAAGTTAACTCATTTAACACGGATGGATAAATTGCCCGTTTGTTTTCACAAATAAAAATTTCCGTTCTCCACAAATCGATTGTTGAAATATTTATAACCGAAAAAAAGGATCATTTTTTTCTGAAAAGAACTAAATGGTGATAACAAAATAAGACATTATTCCAATGAAAATAGAAATCAAATTAATAATAATGTTACAATGTTGACCATAATACATTAATAATGACAGCTTATGGAAATTTTTTTTCTCTCTCTGGATGATTGATGAACAGATGTAACTGATCGTTTGTTTCAGCAACATAGAAAACTGGAAATTAATTGAAAACTTTCAGTGTGAACCAGATAGCCATATCTTGATTTGAAAATTAATTTTCAAAATAAAATTATATTCGTCTAACGGTGATTAATTAATGATTTTTTGTTTTGAGTTTTTAAATTGTAAATAATTTTATAAAGCTTAGATGTTCTGTAGTCGTTAATCTAAAAAAATATATAGAGTTGAATTTTGATAATTTCAAGTAGAAAACCAAAAAAACTTTGTCATCCAATTAAATGAAAATATTAATACAACAGCAGCATTGATGGACTGAATGTAGAACTGTGGTAGATATTAATAATTGACTTATTGATTTTTCTGTTAGATTTATTCGATCCAATTTGGGCTAATGATTGGATTTTTCTTTTTCTTTTTTTTTTGGAGCAAATTTTGTGCAATGATTTTTTTAAAAGTTTTGTTTAGATATATCCAAGTATCCTTGCAGACTACCTACAAAGATAAAAAAGAAAGCAAAAAAAAAAAAATAATTTACATATAAAATATACACGGGAATAGCATGATTGATTTGACTAAAGAATTGATTGATAGGATCAAAATTCTATACTTACGGTAAAAAAGTGTCAATGTAAAAAAAAAATTTTAAACAAAAATCAATCTGGATGATTGAATAAAATGGTCTTTTATTTGTAATCATATGATACATTTAAAACACAACAAAACGAACATAAACAATGGATTCTGTTGTATACAAAAAACAAAACAAAACAAAAAAACGAAATCTTTTTTTGTTGCTTATGGTTGACATATGAAACATCATCATCATCAAAAAAAAGAAAAAAACTTCAGAAAACAACAATATAATGGCATGATGAATCTGGATTTCATATCATATCCATTATCTATGACTATCTCTTTCGTTTCCATTCTACTTAATGAACCAGAATGAGTTGAAGGGACAAAAAAACATCTATCTAACATAACATTCAGACGTTTCAAATAATAATTATTATCTCATGATGATGACAATAAAAATGTTGAAATAATAAAACAGATGGACAATAAAATATATTAACAGAAAAAATAAGATTCATGTTCATTGGGTCCCTTTTTGTTCGGTGTGAAAAATAATAATAATAATGAATAGCTTGGATGATGATGATATAAGATGAAAGAATTTGTTTTTAATTATTGGTTACATAATAATATAGATTAATGTTATTGTACTATTATTTATTAGTTTTTTTTCATAAATACATTATTATTCTTATTATTCTTAATTAGCCTTTCTCACTTGTGTGAAAAAAAAACAAACGAACAAATGAAGAACATGTAAAAAATTCATTGGTATCCATTCATTTATCCAGCTAAAAAGAAAAAAAGAAAAAAAAACAAAATTCTCTACCGTTATTCAGAATATTTTCAATTCATAGTTGCCGATTTGGTCGACATGACATCCAATTAGGATAGTTTCGGTTCATTTCGGTTGCAATGAATGAATGAATGAATGAAACAAGAACAGGAACCAAAGAATGGTAGCCATCGTTTTTTTTTGTTGCTGTTGTTGATAATATTATGACAGTGGATGCTGAATTTTATATTTAAAAAGGAAACTTTCTTCGGAATCTAATGAAATGTGTGTGTGTGTGTGTGTACACATACGAATATATTTCCTTCACTAAATTTCATTTCTAGTGTTTGCCGGTTGGATTTTGTACTTTTTTTCCCTTTTTTCCCTGTAGTTTTTTCTCTTCTTCTTTGTTTTTCAATTATTATTGTTGTTGTCGAATGATGATGATAAAGTTAAACTAATAGTAAACATTTAAAGTTTTCAATAATCTAACTGTTTAAAAAAAAATTTCAATGTACAATTATGTGTGGGTGTGTATGTGCACTCTAAACCATTTTCATGAAAAAAAAAATAAACTGAAATGAAAACATCCCAAACAACAAAAAAAATGAAACCCCAAATACAAATGGTAAAAAATTCATTATTCGAAATTCTTAACAGTACCCAGTGCAACAAAACAAAAATCATTTTGTTCACGCCCGAATCTAGATGTCTTTTTCTTTTTTTGGTTTGTTCATATATTTTATAAATATATTTTATAAATATTTTATAAATTAAATTGATTGTGAAAGAATTGAATGCAAAAAAATGAACATTTCCACAAAACAAAACTTGATCGTAAAATGAGGAAGCGAACAAAAACAAAAATTATGATCACAAATGATCATTATAATGGTTAATATAACCAAACAAACAAACAAACAAACAGAAAAAAACACACTCAAAAAACAGAATCATAATACAAATTTAGTGCTATAATTTTTTTTGGTGTTCGTATTTCTCACAAAAAAAATATAAGAAACAAACAACATTCATTTTTAATTTTTTCTTCCTTCTTTGTTTTATTCACAAATAAACGACATTGAATGAAAATTTAGTGAAAAAAAAACAGAAATTCAAAAATTTTGAAAAAAATGCATAATTTTTTTTTGCACAATGAATAAACGATAATGAATGGTGTTTCTCAGTTTTTGAATGTTGAAAAAGATTAATTAATTAATGATTTTACAGAAAAGAAAAACGCGTTCATTCATTCCATTCTATTTGAAATTGAAAATCTAAAAAGAACAAAAATCTATAAAGAATTTTTTTTTCTTCTTCTAGGTCAATCATAAACTCATTTGAATGTCTTAAAGTTATTCTCTGTAAACATGATGATTATAACTTTATCAAATTTCATCTATTCAATTATCAAAATTGATTGACAATTCGATGGTTGAGATGTAAATATATCTATTTGTTATTATTATTCATCCAAATAAATTTTGCTGTTTTGCATGCGGTTTGTAATATGATAATTTTTGTCGCATCAATGCCTAAAAGCTATCAAACAAAACAAAAAAAAACATTTTCGATATTAAGCCATAGAATTTGGATAAAAAAAAATTATTTTTGATTTTTTTTCCGAATTCGGCAAGATATTCTATCAGTGAAGAAACAATTTCTTTAACAACGCTTCAAGCGTTTGATTCAAAAAAAAGCAAACCCAAAATGCCTAGACACCGATTGCGCATCGTCTCTTACCAATTAGGTTTTAGTTTGTTTTTTTTTTTGTTAGGGTAACTATCTGTTTATAATGAATAACATCTAGCAGCATAATAGTATTCGATTCTTTTCCGTTCGTTTCCGTATCTATCTATATCAAACTATATTTTTTTGGTTGGTCGATGTGATGTGAATAAGATTTCATTCATTCATTCCATATTAAACATGTTCTCGTGGTCGGTCGATCGTCATCATCGTTGCCGTGTGTAACTTTTGTTTGTCACACACACACAATATGGAATTCCATATATTTTTATGGAATTCAATGAATTAGTTTTTTTTTCATTTAATAATGAAAAAAACTGTATGATAAGCAATATAGCCAGCAAAATCGTCGTATCCAAAGGTATTCGATTCTATAAGATAAAGAATCGATGCACATGCGTTTTGAATGTTATCAATGATCAAAAAAAAATCCAATCCGAAAAAAAGGGGCCACAAACATCCACCGAGAAAGTGATGATAAGAATTTCCGCCGCCACCAGTTGTGCGCATCTATTGTCTTCTTTCTTTTTTTCGTTTTTTTTTTTTTTTGTTTGGTCTCCAAATATCGTCAATCAATTGACACCATGTGTATTCCTTTTGAATATTTTTTGTTTTGTTTCACCTGAATAAAATTCTCTGTGAAAGACTAATCATAAAAATCGGTAGTTAATAATGTGTTTTTTTTTTTTTTGGTTTTGGAAATTCTTACCTGATTCAATCACGATCATCACCAACCATCATCATCGCATCACACACACACATCCTGTTTCTATTTCATAGAATAAATTTTTCATCAAATATGTTATTATTATTATGTTATTCATATCAAAATCAAGAAAAAAAATTGAATCGTTTCGTATTTCATTATTATAACATGATCAGAAGGTAAATGATATCATAGTGAAAAAAAGCTTTGAGAAAATAATTGAATCACTCCATACACACACACACACACAAAACGCCATAACCATTATCATCGAATTGGTGAATTATTCGATCAACAACAACTACATAAAAAATTTATCATACAACAACAAATTGAATAGTTTCTCGAAGAAGAAAAAAAATCATCAAATATAATCAACAACAAATCTTGTTTGTGTTCGGGTGTGTGTGTGTGTATGTCGGTGGTGTGTGATGTGTTTCGACAATCAACAACAAAATTTATTTTAAATTGAATCGATTTTTTAGTGATTTTTTTTTTTGATATTCATTCTGTTTTTTTTCCTATTGATATGATATGTGTTAATATATTGTTAGGTGTTTTATATTGTAACAAATTTTTCAAATGTAAAAAATTCCCACTGTGTTTTTTTTTGGAGGGGAATTCAAATTTGCATTTCACTTTTTTTTGTGATAGATCATCATTAGAATTCATCAAATGTAAATTTTTTTTCAGGATGAAATGAGTCAAATTGATCTATAGTTTCCTTCGTGGCAAACAAACAACATTAATAGATCAGATGATGATTAATTCTTCATATTCATTCGATATTGATGTCAAATTG